AATAATAGATAAGTAATAATTATTAATTGGGTATATAGTTTAAGCTGACGTGATACCCGCATAATATGTTGTCTTCGTAGTTCGTCTTACAAGTGAGTAACAGCAAATTTTACCATCAGCAAAACACGTGTAGCTCTATTAGTTTAAATTTAAAATGAAATAACCTCTAATAACATTTAAAGGTAAGATTATTATCTAGGGATTCTCATAAGGTTTTTACATGTTATATTTTAACTTGATGCGAGTTAAGTAAAGACACACAAATAATTTGCGATTTTAAAATACTCATAACTTGCTTTAAAATTAAAATATGATTAAAAAAACATATGAAAAGCCCTAGATAATAATCTTACCTTTAAATTTTATTAGAGGTCAATTCACTCGAAATTTCAAACTAATAGAGCTACACGTATTCTGCTGAGCGCCTGAACGTAAAAATTGCCATGTTACGCACTTGTAAGACGGAGACAATTGCACATACGGGTATCCTTTTGGATGGGCGCTGCCAGCTCAACACTAACCGGTCCTAAAACCATTACSGGCATACAACATACAAATCAATAAATATAAATCGAAAAAGATTAACCGATAATCTACGATAAGACGAGCATAATATTATTGTAAAAGTCATAAAGAACATACAATATTACTATTCGACATCGACGACATCCTGCTTGTAAGTAATAATAATACAAGTATACGGTATAGTAGGAAAAAAAATCAAATGAAAATATTTTACAAAAATAATTATAATAAAAAATAATATTTAACGAAAATAGACTTTAAATATACGTGGTTATTTTGTACCTTAGCCCTCTGGGTCTCCCTTCTCTCTCTCATTGATAGGTTTTATAATTTATTGATGACAACCCATTGGAAACCTCCAGTAGTCCAGTCACTAARCGAGTRAAAATAATCTTTATTATTTGCGATAATGCAATCAAATACCTGTATCGGTATGACGGTATKAGTTGTGTGGTCATGTGGAACTAATAAAAATGTCAAATTCATACTTATCTTATAATGATTCAAGTTCAAATAATGAGATTTTATGAAATATCTAGAGTATTATCGGTGAAGCCCAAAAGATCAATTTTTTTTATAAAATTAATTTGCGCTTATGGGTTATTAAATAAAAGGTAATTTTTTTCGTGCTTATGGGATATTTATTTTTGCACTTTTGGGTTGCGTTTGGGTCATATTTTGCGCTTATGGGCTACAGCCAATATTATAGTATGTTAATTCCTTGGTACACTGTATTCTCGACTGTTCTGTGCCGAGCAACAATGGAATATGGAAATAATAAAATTGAACAAAAAATAAGACAAAATTTGTCTTGATGGTCATATGTACACTTTATACTATAAGACAAGCGATTCAATTAAATGGCGATGTTCAAAAAACTTTTCGTTAAAGTGTCCAGCAGTTTTAAGTACTAAATATTAATAAAAAAATGACAAATCAAAATATTCTGCAACATGGTCATAATCATTTACCAAATCGCAAAGAAATCATGGTAACCAAAGCTTATTTGATCAATAAGAAAGAAAAATTATGTAAGTTGTAACTTGTAAGTATAAATAGATAATAATATGTTCCCGGAATAAAAATCCCCGGTAAATAAAA